GATGACGCATCCTCTGTATCTATTGTTCTTCACATAAAGAAAGCATTCGACACGATCAGACGAATTGTCGAATGGGAATCATGGAGCATTTTTCCGAATTGCGTTGTAATAATGAATGGAATCTTCTGTCAGAGAAGAGGCGTAATGTGAAGTCTCTAACGACAACTCGAAGAAGTCTCTAACGACAACTCAATAGACTAAACAAATCGAGAGCAGCATTCGGATGACTGCAAGGTGTGTGGGGAAGCTCACATTTATCCAGGAAACCCAAGCTTAAAATATTCGAAGCATGTATAAAATCAGTTCTGATATACGGCAGTCAAAGTTGGGAAGGGTCTAACACCGTCACATAAAAGCTATATATTATATTAATCAGGGATGGTCCGTGTGACGAATTTTTAGTTTTTCGACGTCGAAAACGTCATATACCTGTATGAAATGTAATAAATGTAGGAAATGTCATTTATTTCAATATTATCAGCATATACAGTTATTTTCAAGAATATACATTATTTTTACATATATCTGACTATTCCTTGCTAGAACTGATAAAAATTTCTAAATTCTTTTGAGAAGAAAATTTTGAAATTTTAAATGGATTTGGGTAACGCATGCGTAATTTCCAAATTGATTAATGGAAATAGATATTTTGTCAAAAACCAACTGTGTGTCATTTACGTCATTGTTTCTGACAGGCCTTCTCTGATATTAATAAACAATTTCCTCAAATTCATATGTAGAATATTCCGTCACAGCACCATAGATCTATGAAACCCAACATAAAACTCAACAAAATAATATTTTGTTGATTTTGGACATACCACAAATAAATGTGTTTTGTTTCTATAAATCATCGGGGATTCCATTCGGGTGCCATTTTAAAATTGTGCATGATGTTGTCAATAAACAAGAAATTGCGAAATATTTTCAAAAATAAAACATTTTTTGTAATTTGCATTCTAGATGTAGAATTCCAAATAAATAATATACGATGTTTAGTTCTCAACAATAGAAAGTTAAAACAATACAAACAATACTGGGTTTTGAAATATAAACCCAGTGAGCATTATGAACATTATTATAATAGACATACGGACGGAAGGACACATATGTTTAGATCGACTCAGGCATTCGAGATATGACGATCGGAGGGCCACAATTTCGCGGAGTTAGCTATAATACCCACACACAAGCTATAATCACAACAAAGTAGTGTAGGGTATAAATATTGATTATCGTTTTACTTGTTTGACTATATGCTTCTTTTACTTTCACTTTAATCTTCCTGAAATTCTAAAATATTTAAAAACAAATTCTTAATCGATCAAGAACATCACCTCTTCTTCGTCTCATCCCATATATCAAAATGTTGACATCCGTTTTAAACATTTATCACAACTATTTACCACTGAATTACGCCCACTTAAACCTTTAATGACGAGTGTAAACTACACCCCCCTGCATTATTTGTCTATTATTATTATTATATTGATTATAATTAGTGTTGTCCAATAAATTATAATTATAACACACACAAGTCTGCATTGGTGTTGTTGGGGAATTTGTTGTTTGTTTTCTTTTTGGTGTTGAATAGATTTCAACTCTATTATCGAAACTTGTTGCATATGTTAATGAGACATCGTTAAAAGACTCATGTTTTAAACATGATCGTATTGAACAGTGGGGGGATTTATTTTCATTCCTGATTAGAAGATGTGACGAAATACAAACTAATTCAATAGAGTTATAAATTCGCATTATTTTTTTTTTGCATTCAAGACCCACTGTAGCATGTTTTGCTATTATAATATGGCATTTTGTTAAATTAGTTCCAGAAAAATCAACTGCATCGCTTCTGTATAGGGTTATTGACTTTTTAGTGCAAACAAGTTAGTTAAGTGAAATAGCAAGCCCACGACGCGCACGCGCATTTTGTTTCATAAACATTATTTAACTATTATGATCCTTCTCTTAAAATGTCTAAATTTAGAAAAACCAGCAGACGAACAAAATAACATTTTAAAGCAAACATGCCTAGTCTATAGAGAATATTAAAGACAGTTTATAACTGATAACCTATATTAGACCTTTTAGAAAAATGTAGTCTTCGGCTGGAAAAAGTTGTTCCTTTGAGAAATTTAAATAGCAAACAGGTACAGTGGTGGATAAATTCGGTCAATTTGTTTGCAAAGTTGTGTCTCATTATACAATATTTTATAAGCACGGGGTGCGGAATAAGAATATACGGGCAGAAAAAAAATATGTAATTCCCATGAAATTTTTAAAAATACTAGCACAGATTTCCAATGAATGTTGGGAAATGTGATTAGTTGTTAATGAAAAAGTGGCACTAACATCGAAAGAACAATTTTTTTTTATTCCCTACACTTCGCTGTTGAGCAGATTATATCATTGTGCATATGTTCAAATCTTAACTCATCACGCCATTAATTGAAAAGATACTCAATTAGAACATGCGTCCTGTATCACTATCCTGCTCAAACTTACTTCTTCTGTAGAATAGGAGTTCTCATCTACAAAATCAGCATGGTATTAGTCTTCTTCGGCGGGCAAATATACATCCTGAATTGCAAATTTTTGGATCGGAAATGGCCGAATTTTGATTCATCTCACATTATATAGCACTTCTTCATACCAAACCAGTAAGGAAAGTAGTAAAGTCGGACTGAGCCGACTACATGATACCCTTCACCACTTTGGGTATATTCTGCATATGTATCCTAACAGACGTCGCGTGTTTGTTATATATCTAGATCGGAACCGATTTCAGGGAAACTTGTCAGAGACTAATTTATATTACTTCAGTACGTTGTGTCAATCGGCCTAGCTATGGATTTTTTCACAAAGCTAAGCACCATCATTCTAGACTTAATTCAGTACCCTATACCAAAATTCGTGCAAATCGAAAAATATATAGGGACCTTGATGCACCAATTACTTAAAATCGGACGAAAATATACATGGGAACTATATCTAAATCTGAACCAATTTTCACGAAACTTAGCACACGCCATTCTAGACTTAATTCAGTGCGCTATGCCGAAATTTGTGCAAATGAAAAGATTTCAAGGGACTTTTGTGCCCCATATGTATGCTATGCCAAATTTCGTGCAAATCGAAGGATATAGGGTCTTTGATGCACCAATTACCTTAAATCGGACGAAAATATATATGGGAGCTATATCTAACTCTGAACCGAAACTTTTTTCACGAAACTTTGCAAACATCATTCTAGACTTAATTTAGTGCTCTATGATAAATTTCGTGCAAATCGAATGATTTTCAGAGATTTGGTGTCCTAATTACCTTAAATCGGATTAATATATATATATATATATGCTGATATATATATATATATATATATTTTCACGAAACTTTGCACACATCATTCTAGACTTAATTCAGTACGCTGTGCCAAATTTCGTGCAAATCGAAATATATATAGGGACTTTGTTACACCATTCGGAGGAAGATATATATGGGAGCTATATCTAAATCTGGACCGAAACTTAACACACATCATTGTAAACCTTATTCATTAAGCTGTGCCAAATTTCGTGCAAATCGAAAGATATATAGGGACTTTAGTGGACTATTTACCTAAAATCGGGCGAAACTATATATGGGAGATATATCTAAATCTGAACCGATTTTCACGAAACTTTGTACACATCATTCTAGACTTAATTTAGTAAAATCTGAACCGACTTTCACGAAATTGAACACACATCTTTCTAGACTTAATTCAGTACGCTATGCCAAATTTCGTGCAAATCTAAATCTGAACCGATTTTCCCAATTTCAATAGGGTTCGTCCTTGGGCCAAATAAATGATCTGTGCCAAGTTTCATCCAATTCGAATCAAAAACGCGACCTGTACTTTATTTACAATTTAACATGGACAGACAGTCAGACAGACGGACGGACATGCATAAATCGACTTAAAAAGTGATTCTATGCATATTCTTAAAAGGAACCATTTGGTCTATCTCCATTATTTTTGCCTGTTACAAACATATGCACAAAGACATAATACCCTGTGAAGGGTATACAAATAACAGCCAATTCGGAGGAAAAATATTTCCACAGTCCCCAAAATACCGAGTTAATTGGGGAACATACTGAAACTTGGGTTACAAACGGAAAAACAAACTTAATATACCCTCCATACTATGGTGGAGAGTATATAAATTACGTGATTCCAGTATTGTTTATGTATTTTTTATTACCTCACAAAAGACAGGTTCACTGAGTCAATATTTATAAACATAATTTCCATTTCGAGAACTTAATATAATCTACAAAACACTATTTGGGAAATGTTGGTTTGGTTATGCATTTGCATAGATTTTCATACGGATTTTGTCAAATAATGTTCATTGGTTTTTAATTTGAGTACCAATCGAATAGGATATATTTAAACCTTTTTTGATAATATCAAAGTTTTTAGCATAGTATATTGGGCAACCACTATTCGTATTCACTGATAGTACTTAACTATATTGTAATTATGTTTGCAAATGTTAATCAACACCTTGTCAGATAGCTTTCATATGACGTTCAAGCGTATAATTAACTTAGTCAAAAATAATCTTTCTTTCTTTTCGAGCTACCAAACTACAATGGTCAACAAAACATCCAAAGGCTGTTATACAGATCAACATCTAAAACAACAACCACAGTAACGCCAAAACAAAAATAATTCATTAATGGCAATTAATCCATAGAGCTGCTAAAAGAGCACACAATAAATATTCGCAAAATACACACACAAATTTTGCAACAATGCCAGCGAAGAACATCTATGAAAGGAATTAAATTATTGGACCACCTCATTATCGAAATTCTTTCCCAAACATCATGTTTCTGGTTTTACTTGTGTATAAAAGTAACAAAAAATTCTAAATAGATTATCAGTTTTAGTTATTTCATTCTAGTGAATAGAAGTAATTTGACGAAACATCAACACAATGGTAAGAATGGCGCCCAACGGTGACAATGTTGAGAAATTTATGGAAAAACAAAACTTTATTTTTTTAGAAACTTTTTGCTTTGACATTGGCCGTTTTGGTCTCAACTGCATTGGGTGGACAATTGAGCAGCACTTATTTGCCACCACATCAGGGTAGTGCCTCTGCACCTTCCGTCAGTTTTGCTGCAGCTGCTGCTCCTTCTAGACAATATTTGGCACCAGCTGCATCTGCTCCAGTTACCAGTTTTGCTACATCTAGTGGTTTCTCCGATTCGGCTGCCCACTATTCAGCTCCTGCTGTCGCCGCACCCTCTAAACAATATTTGGCACCCGCTGCTTCAGCTCCAGCTGTAAGCTTTGCTGGAAGTAGCTTTGGTGGTTTCTCAGCTGGTCATAATGCTGGAGGTTTCTCAACTGGTTTCTCAGCTGCTGCTTCTAAACCATCCAGACAATACTTGGCTCCTGCTGCTTCAGCTCCTTCTGTTTCTTACTCTGCTGCTGCCTCAGCTCCAGTCGTACACCACGCTGCTCCTGCTGTCCACCATGCCGCTCCTATTGTTCACCACGCTGCCCCTGCTGTTCACCACGCCGCTCCTGTTGTTCATCAAGCCGCTGCTACAATTCACCACGCCGCACCTGTAGTACACCACGCAGCTCCCGTTGTTCATCACCACGCCGCTCCCGCAGTTCACCATGCTGCTCCTGTTGTTCACCACGCCGCACCCGCAGTTCACCATGCTGCTCCCGTTGTTCACCACGCCGCTCCCGTTGTTCATCATGCCGCTCCTGCTGCTGTCTCTCATAGTGTTGGTTTCGCCACAGGATCTCAATCTGCTGGTTATGGTAGTGCTGGTTTCGCATCAGGATCTCAATCAGGTTATGCTGCTTCTGCTCCAGCTGCCGCTGTCAGTTACTCTGCTCCTGCTGCTAGTTATTCAGCACCAGCTGCCAGTTTCTCTGCCCCAGTCGCTCAATATTCCAGCGGTTCAGTTGGTACCCAATATGCTGCCAATGGTGGCTATGCCCGTCAATAGGGTGTTCAAGTTGTTTATAAGTAAATGTGATGTTTAATAAAATTGAAAATAGTTTTATAAAACGTATCTGGAGTATTTTGTTTTGGGCCTCACAGATATCTGTCTATGATGTGTAGGAAAATTCTTTCTATCGCCACTTAAAATTTGTAAAGAAATACAAATACTGAAAATTGGACACAACCTAAATTGAGGTCTACGCCAAAATGTGGACCAATAGTGAAACCGTTTTTGGGAGGAAGTTTTCTGGCCATTAAACACAATTTATTGAACATTACTAGAGTTGTGTCCTTCCGGACCGAATTAGTTCAAAAGAACTATTCCGAAACATGAACGATTGGAACTAGTTCCTTTTGCTCCAGTCGTTCGTTCTTGCTCTCGTTCGATTAACTATAAACGTTATATCATCTTTTGTTGGACAATGCCACTGCGGCTTTGTCATTCTAAGGACATAAATGTATATCTATAATTTACTCAAAAAGTGTTAAAACAATTTTTTTTCTATCCAACAAGAACCCTAAATACGAAAGGTCAATACGATTGGAAATTTTTACAAAAAAATACTTAAAACTTAACATGGGGATCAACATTTTATGGAGGCTATACATATGAGCCGAACAATGCACAATTTTCGTTTTAGGGAGTTAATCGATGAGAATATAACTTCGAGTAATTTTCTCGTTCGCTACGTAACAAGAACTAGTTCATTTAGTCCCATAGTTCGTAATATGTGAAAAGAAAGTTCAGGATAAATCATACTACTTTTTATTATACCCTTCACCATATGCATATGTGCATATGTTTGTAACAGGCAAACGAAAACGAGATAGACCCATGGTTCCTTTTGAGAATATGCATAGAATCACTTTTTAAGTCGATTAAGCATGTCCGTCCGTCCGTCTGTCTGTCTGTCCATGTATTTTTGTGAGCAAAGTACAGGTCGCATTTATGATCCGAATTGGATGAAATTTGGCACAGCTCATTTGTTTGGCCCAAGGACGAACCCTATTGAAATTGGGAAAAATCGGTTCAGATTTAGATATAGCTCCCATATATAATTTCGTCCGATTTAATGTAAATGGTGTACCAAAGTCCCTATATATCTTTCGATTTGCACGAAATTTGGTATAACGTACTGAATTGGGCCTAGAATGATGTCTGCCAAATTTCGTGAAAATCGGTTCAGATTTAATTTGGCACAGCTCATTTGTTTGGCCCAAGGACGAACCCTATTGAAATTGGGAAAAATCGGTTCAGATTTAGATATAGCTCCCATATATAATTTCGTCCGATTTAATGTAAATGGTGTACCAAAGTCCCTATATATCTTTCGATTTGCACGAAATTTGGTATAACGTACTGAATTGGGCCTAGAATGATGTCTGCCAAATTTCGTGAAAATCGGTTCAGATTTAGATATAGCTCCCATATATAGTTTCGTCCGATTTCATGTAAATGGTGCCCCAAAGTCCCTACATATCTTTCGATTTGCACGAAATTTGGCATAACGTACTGAATTGAGCCTAGAGTGATGTCTGCAAAGTTTCGTGAAAATCGGTTCAGATTTAGATATAGCTCCCATATATAGTTTCGTCCGATTTCATGGAAATGGTGCACCAAAGTCCCATATATCTTTCGATTTGCACGAAATTTGGCATAACGTACTGAATTGATGCTGGAATGATTTGTGCTGAGTTTCGTGAAAACCGATTCAGATTTATATATATATATATATATTCGTCCGATTTAATCTAAATAATGTACCAAGTTCTTATGTTGCTTAGCGTTTTGAGTTTAATCCAGAAGTGCCAAGTTTAGTGAAAATCGGCCAAGACTTAGATATAGCTCCCATATATATTTTCGTCCGATTTAATGTAAATGGTGCACTACATGTATCCTTCGATTTGCACAAAATTTAGCATAGCGTTCTATTATATATATATATATATATATATATATATATTCGTCCGATTTAATCTAAATAATGTACCAAGTTCTTATGTTGCTTAGCGTTTTGAGTTTAATCCAGAATAATGTGTGCCAAGTTTAGTGAAAATCGGTTGAGATTTAGATATAGCTCCCTTATATTATAGGTTGATTTTAAGTAATTGACGCACCAAGGAACCAATATATGGCTGATAGGAACAAAACGTACTGAAATTAGTATAACCTATCCTGTGACAAGTTTTGTTGAAATCGGTTCATATTTGGGTATAGCATCCATATATAAGTAAATTGTGCATCAAACTCCTCATATTTGTTAGATTGACTTCAAATTTTGCACAACGTACAAAATTGGGCATAGAATAACGTAGTTGGATTTTCTAGAAGTACAGACCTAGCCCAACGGATGACCTATTGATATTTGTTTGAAGTCGATTTACATACTTTTGTTCCATTGCAACACACGAATGACATTTTTATGGATAGATCTAGGTCGTTTCACATGTAGATAAATATCACATATTTTATTTCATACAATTTTATGATAATAGTCCTGTTTAATATACCCATAGTGGTGAAGGGTATCATATAGTCGGCCCCGTCCGACTTTTTTACTTTTTTTTGGAAAGAACGTGGAAATATATATGAATAAGAGGAAAAATTAACGATTGGAACCAAATGAACTAGATGAATGAAAGAACCCAATTTTTTTGCGGAATAGCCCCTTTCAATAAATTATTGTGTAATATTGAATGTAATTGTTTCGATTTAAATGACATTCATCGAATTGGATAATAATTTATTGTTGACAGTCAGCCTTATTAATAGATCTTGTTTTTTTATGAAGAAATTTAATTGATGAATTGAAGTAATAAATTTATAAACATATATTTGTTTTGAAATAGAAAGTCGTTTGCATTAAAATGCAATTAATTCCGATGCAACCTTGTTTGTTTATCACAATTTAACTTATATATTTACATTTTTAAATATACTGTGGTATTAGGAAAAATTTTAAAAATCTTTAAAGGATTATTCACAGTTCAAAATTGTAGAGTTTTAAAATAAAATATTTTAAACATATATAAATGTTGACAAGATGGTTAAGTTTGACCTTGCCGAACTTTTATTAATTTGCTAACATATATCAGAAAAAATGTCTGTCACTAAATTACAGCGCTTTTGAATGGAAAAAGTGTGCAAAACTATCTAAAATGAGGCGGACTATGTACAAAAAGTACTATTTAATATAATTAATATTTAGAAGAACAAAAAAGAGGAGAGAACTGAGCCTAGGACCATCGAAATATTAGGCTGGGGAAATAGAAATCCATTATTATTGTATGAACTATAGGTCTTTATTTAACATGCTTCGGAATGTCCGAATGCCAAGTCCGGACCGTATGGCGGTTGCATTAAAACTTCCCAAACAAGCTCCCGAAGTTTCTAGGAAGTCACTGTAGATATGTGTGGCTTTGCGTTGTCCTGGTGGAACACGACACCTGCCCTGTTGGCCAATTCTGGCCTTTTCTGGTATATTATAAATAGTTGAAAACAGTTTTGTGGTCGATTTTTAGCTCCTGGGCGATGTTTCTCCGAGTTTATCGACATTTTCGACGACCAGCCTGTGCGAGGTGCATCTTTACCTTCAAAAATTCCTGAACGGAATCTACGAAACCAAAATTGCACAAAAAAATGCTCAAATTTTAAAATTTTTTGGGGATATACCAAAACGTCGACCGATATATCAAACTTTCAATACCAAGCATCCTAGAAGTAGTAACAATATTTGTACAAAATATTACAATATTACCTCTGTCTGCTGTTGAAATCACGATAGAGATAACAATATTTATTTTGTCTTCATAATATTGAATTTGAAATTTTACCAATTTTCGACCGAAATTATTCTAATTCTAGTTCTTAACAGAACACTATGAGTCAGAGATCCCATGTTTTAGCGGTTAATTTTTTTTAAAAGTTGATTTAATCAAATTATTTCTGGACGAATTTTGTAGAGCTATGACCACTAAATACGATACAACTTAATTTAGATATATCGCCAAACTTTTGCATAAAGTCGTCTTTTGTCTGCAGGCAGGCCAAGTTCGATGGTGGGCTTTATCGGTCCACGTTTAGGCATAGCTCCCATATAAGGGTACCCCCCTATTTTCTGTATTTTGGGGTTCTTGAGCTCGTTTTCAACCGAATTCGCTGAAATTTACTACGTTGGTTTCTTATTGGCTACCAAATATCTTCACCAAAAATTATAAATATCGGTCCACTTTTTCTGGTAGCTCCCACTTAAGGGTACCTCAAATTTTGGGTATTTTGAGGTTTTTCAACCGAATTCGCTGTAATTTGGTATTTTGTAGTCGTATATGATAACAAATCTCCATACCAAAAATTAATAATATTCGCCCCCTTTTTTGATAATAACATTCGCCCCCTACACAACTATGTTGTCAGGGTATTATAGCTTTGTGCAGCCCCAAGAGTTTGTAACGCCGCGAAATATTGATCCTAGACCCACCTTTAAGTATACCGATCGTCATACCTCGACCAGCTGAATCGATCTAAACATGTGCGTCCGTCCATCTGTCCATTATAATTTGTAAACACGATACAGGCCATAGTTATGGAGCAATCTTCACGAAATTATGCATGTAGATTGAGTTCTGAGTTTTTTGGAAAAGATCGGTTAATATTTAGGGGATGAAATGGACGAAATACTTAATTTTTGTCTGATTTTCTGGTCGCTCCAGAGGCCGCAATTATGGCCCAAACATATCGAATTTTTACATGGAGAAGGGGATCGGACCAAATAATAAGCATGCCTGTTTTGATCAGTTTCGGTCAATATTTAGCGGGTCAAATGGACCCATACTTTTGTGTGAAAAATGACAAAATTTGTATTCTATGGTGTATATATTTGCCCCTGAAGAAGTTGCCCCCGAGAAGTTAATAGTACATCCAAGAATAGTGGTTGACCTTCAAATTGATACCAATTATATTGTCGTATTTACGCAGATGTGGGAGTTACACTTAAATATTTACAGGTGTTTACGTATTCATTAATTATTTAGTAACCCATTAGCACTCTAGAGGGCGGAAATATAGCGCTGATCGCTTTGAAATGTTCCGTGAGATTCCAGTTATGATCAAAAACAACGCCTATAATTTTCGGGGATGATCAAACAATAATTTTGGAATGAAGTGGACCGAAAACTTAATTTTTTGTGTTTTTTTCCAGTCGATGTAGAGGCCACAATTGAAAGCCGTACATCACAACCCACGGTGAAGGGAATCTGGACAAGAAATAAGATAGGATGTACCGAATATTAGTAATATTTGTTGATCTCTAGTCGGTCAAGAGGGTGCAAATATTAAAATATTGCTCGAGCTCAGAACATAGAACCACAGAAGGTTAGATTTTCGTGGAAGTTGTATAGGGTATCATATGGTCGGCCCCGTCCCACTATACTGCTCCGCTCACTGGTTTTTAATTATTTTCTTCTCAAGCCCATTTAGCTTTCCTACCCATCCAAATTTTTTAGAATGTCCCTTGTAACTGAAAATTCGGTGTCTATCATTTTATGGTATTATTAAATCATTTGTAATTTCGAACTTCGGATTCTCAGTCGACTGGATTAAATAGAAATAAATATATGTGAAATATTAATTTTTAATAATGTTTTATGGCTTAGGAGTTACGAAATTTTCGCCCATACCTACACCTATTATTCTACGCAACATTTAACTTTTTGTAACATAGATCTAAACAATGTTTTGTTTGGGTTTATCCAGAAATACTAAATCATCATATATCCAATAATGATTAATAATATTTTAAACCATTGAGAATCCACCCGGAATTCCCCACACTTCTCAATTCAATTAATTATTAGCCAATACAAAATCAGACGCTTTATGTTTTCTTTAATTACTATTCATATTATTTTTTCAACGATTAAAGAACAGAACAAAAAAAAAATAAACTGTGATTGAATGGTACAAACAAAATGATTTTTTTTTTTTTTTTTTTTTTTTGCTCTAAAGATTATTATGTGTTAAAGAAGACTCTTCGCGTCTATTTTTGGGAATTAATCGCTTACTAAAACTAATTATGTTGCACTTTATGTCATTCCCTTGAAATTCTTTTAGTGCGAATTTTGTATAAAAGTTACGAACAAATTTGAAATAGACATCAGTTGAGTTTGTTCTCTTATTTGCAAATCAGTTAACCGAACACCAAGAAAATGGTACGACGCAACTCAAAGAATTTCAATTTAAAGTTTTGTTACTATTTTCTTCTCTTTTTTTAGAAACTCTTTGTTTTAACTCTGGCCGTTTTGGTCTCCTCAGCAGTGGCTGGACTAAGCTCAACCTATTTGCCTCCAGCACCACCATCTAGTCAATATTTGGCACCATCAGTATCCTCCACGGTTGGTCATGGAAGTGGATTTGCTAATGTAGGTCATTCGAACAGTTTTTCACAAGGCTTTGCTTCGCAGGCTGTACATCATGCCGCTCCAGCTGTCTATCATGCCGCTCCAGCTGCACCATCTAGACAATATTTAGCCCCAGCTGCTTCAGCTCCAGCTACCCATTACTCGGCCCCTGCTGCTTCTTCCTACGCCTCTGGTTTCTCGCATGCCACTTCCGCAGTACACCATGCTGCTCCAGCTGTTCATTATGCTGCTCCTGCTGTCCACCATGCTGCTCGTGTCCAATCTAGACAATACTCGGCTCCTGCTGTTTCTTCCTACGCCTCTGGTTTCTCGCATACCACTGCCGCAGTACGCCATGCTGCTCCTGCTGTCCATTACGCTTCCCCTGCAGTTCATCATGCCGCCCCAGCTGTCCATCACGCTGCCACTGCTGTCCACTATACCGCTCCCGCTGCACCATCTAGACAATATTTGGCCCCAGCAGCATCAGCTCCAGCTGTCCAATACTCAGCGCCTTTACACAGCCATGCAGTCTCTCATGCTGTAGCGTCAGCTCCAGTGGCCCGTTTCTCTGCACCTGTTGCCGGCTCCTATGGTCGCAGCAGCGGTTTTGCCTCGAGTTCATACGGCGGTAGTTTTGCAGCATCCGCACCAGCTGTCCACCATTCTGCCCCAGCAGTAAGCTCTTCTTATGGTCATGGTGGTGGTTTTTCCAGTGGTGCTCATTCCACTGGCTACGCACACTCCGTATCTGCTCCAGTAAGCCATTATTCAGCACCCGCTGCCTCCCTTTTCTCCGGTAATTCGGTTGGTACTCGTTATGCAGCCAATGGTGGTTATATTCGCCATTAAATTTTGTAAATCCCCCTTCGAGTTCTAAATAAACGATTTTCGAAACATAATGATCGCTTAATAAATAATTCTGTTGTTTTTCTTCGAATCATTATTTCGAGATTCTGTTCAAAGCCGTGGTACAAAAGAAAACCAACGATAATGACTGGTTAGAATTTCTGAAGAGATCACTTGGTCAATTAGCCGGCCAATTGATGCTGTTATGTGAGTAGTCATTAATAATTGAATGTATTGTGATTGAAGTTGTGAAACACTAAGAGATCACAGTCATTCCATCATAACACGGTCTCAGCTGGGAATTTAGGAAACATATCAATAAATCATTAATCAAATTTGTATTTATTGTAAATTTTATCGGATTTGTTTATAATTCACACTTCGGTCTTAAATATGAGTGGGTTCATTAATCTGAAGATAAGAATATTTAGATAAGAAAGTTAGGCATTGTCAAGTAAAAACGTCGTTAAGTTCGGACGGACCGAACTTCGTACACCCTCCACCATGAGGTAGACATTTAAACCAGCTAAAATCAATCGGGGCTTTTATGTGGACATACTAATTTGCGATCAAGAAAAAAAAACGAAGTACCCAAATTAGAAAATTGAAATATGATCGGTATGTCAAATATGGAGGATTTCATACCCACCAAGGTGCAAGAATGCCAAGTTATAGCTTTAGTTTTAAAATGCGCCAACGTCCATTAGAATGCCTTTAAAAGTGTCAGGGTCTTTGGGTGAAGGCTATAAAACCAGGGTATTGCAACCCAATGAGGGCCAACTCGGACGAATAATGTATCACAAAACTTCTACACGACGAAAAATAGGGCTACCGTTATATGGGGCTACATTGGAAATGAGAAACAAAAATATATCATTATAGCCAATTAGGTTGAAAAACTTGCCCAAAGTAACCATATCAGTTTTATATAGACTACCAGGAAACTTGGTCAAATCAAATTTTTAGATTCAGTGACACTCAATCTAGAGACGTCCCAAAATTCGAAAAAAATTATGACGAGGTATCGGTTCAATCAAAAATTTTATATGAAGCTAGTTGAGTATCCGACTAATTCATAAATTATATATTTACTTCAAAATGAGTCCCATATGTGATTAAAGTTTTAATGATAATAATAATATGTAATTGTTTAAATTATGTACAAAAAGGTCCAACACGGCAAATTGACTCCGACTCCTCAGATAGATCTTTGCAATTTTTAAACAAAAAACCAGTGAACCGATTTTCAGGAAACTTAACATACATCATTCTAGACATAATTCATTACGCCGTACCAAATTTCGTGTAAATCGAAAGATATAAAGGAACTTTGGTGCACCATTTACATTAAATCGGACGAAAATATATATGGTAGCTAAATCTAAATCTGAACCGATTTTCAGGATACTTAACACACATCATTCTATGCTTAATTCAGTACGCTGTGCCAAATTTCGTGCAAATCGAGAAATATATAGGGACTTTAGTGCACCATTTACATTAAACCATTTAGGAACTTTGGTGCACCATTTACATTAAATCGGACGAAAATATATATGGTAGCTAAATCTAAAACTGAACCGATTTTTAGGAAACTTAACACACATCATTCTATACCTGATTCATTACGCTGTGCTAAATTTCGTGCAAATCGATAGATATATAGGGACTTTGGTGCACCATTTACATTAAATCTGACGATAACATATATGGGAGCTAAATCTAAATCTGAACCGATTTTCAGGAAACTTAACACACATCATTCTATGCTTAATTCAGTACGCTGTGCCAAATTTCGTGCAAATCGAGAAATATATAGGGACTTTAGTGCACCATTTGCATTAAATCGGACGAAAATATATATTGGAGCTATATCTAAATCTAAACCGATTTTAAAGAAACTTAACACACATCATTCTATACCTAATTCATTATGCTGTGCCAATTTTCGTACAAATCGAGAAATATATAGGGACTTTGGTGCACCATTTACATTAAATCGGAGGAAAATATATGTGGGAGCTATATATAAATCTGAACCGATTTTTCCTAATTTCAATAGGGTTCGTCCTTGGGCCAAATAAGTGACCTATGCCAAATATCAGCCAAATCGAATCATAAATGCGACCTGTACTTTGTTCACAAAAATACATGGACGGACGGACATGCCTAAATGGACTCAGAAAATGATTCTATCCATATTCTCAAAAGGAACCATGTGCCTATCTCATTTCCTTTTGGTTGTTACAAACATATGCACAAAGACATAATACCCTGTACCACAGTGTGGTGAAGGGTATACAAAATCCAAAATAAGACCCTGTATATACATAAGCCCCATATTTTGACTGCTTCAACCGCATTTTCCAATCGATGTAACTATGGGAACCACTTGTCAGGTTTTTTTTATTTAATACGTGTAATTTCAATGTTATTCTACAATTAATATACAGCATAACTTTAGGAGAGCACAGTTTATATTTTTATGGTAAAAACTCAATTTCTAAGCATGACTCAAAATTTAATAAAGGCCAACAGAATAAAAATAAATTCGAAGTTGTATACTTTTAGGCGCACACGATTCAATTGAATTCGCCGCATTATTTAGAAATAATGAAAATGTAAAAAATCCGGCTAGATTACGAACATTAATCAGCTCACTTTCTGAGCTGATTAATGTATAACCATCCGTCCGACTGTCTGTCAGTCCATGTTAAATAGTAAACAAAGTACTGGTCGCATTTATGATCCGAATTTTATGAAATTTGTCACAGCTCATTTATTTGGCCAAGGGACGAGCACTATTGAAATTGGTAGAAATCGGTTCAGATTTAGTTATAGTTCCCATATATATATTTTCGTCCGATTTTATGTAAATTGGGCACCAAAGTCCCTATATATCGATTTGAACGAAATTTAGCATAGCGTACTGAATTGAGTCTAGAATGACTTGTGGTAAGTTTTGTGAAAATCTGTTCAGATTTACATATAGCTCCCATATATATTTTCGTCCAATTTAATGTAAATGGTACACGACAATCCCTATATATCCTTCGATTTGCACGTACTGAATTAAGACCACTCCGACTTCACTACTTTCCTAAGTGGTTTTTGTAGGAAAAGTTGTATGATGTCGCGGTCCTCCCATAAACCCTATTTTTTATATTCTACACAACAATCTTGAGTGGATATAATAAGTAAATCAGTAGTAAAAGTCCGCCGAACAAAAACTCTGATTGGTTGGAATTTGATAAGAATTGCTGTTTTGATAATGATCGGTGAATACTTATCGGTCTACAGAACATCTTCAGAATTCTATGGAAAATCCACAAAAGGTTGTAACTCACATTTTCTGCAAGACTGGCAATAATGAAAACAAGATAAAAGGAAGTTAAGTTCGGCCCGGCCGAACTTTTTATATGGGAGCTCCTTGGAGAAAACTCATGTCGTGATAGGACCTTGAATATACCGAAAAAGACTTGAGAAAAATATGATTGGAATTCCAAAAAAAGGATCTAATGGTGGGGCTACAGTAATATGGGGTTAAAATAAAGCGGGGATCGATATTGATATTTTTATGCCCTCCACCATAAGGTGGAATGTATATTAAATTTGTAATTTCGTTCATGTTCACCGCAGACTCCACAAAATATATATTTTTGATCAGAATTAATTTCTACGTCGATTTATGCGTGTCCGTCTGCCCGTGGGGGTGGTATAAAAAGTTGGGCCGGGCCGAACATAACTTCGTTTGTACACCTTTATGACCTGAACACAACGCAATTTCACACGGAGAAAGGAATCTGACCAAGGAACAAGCATGGCTCCTCCCATGATAATCAGTCAATATTAAGCGGTTCCAATTGACCCAGACCTTGGTGTAAAAATGGCAAAATTAACATTCTATGGTGTATATAGTCTGCGTTTGGAATTCCTGCAAAATTAATTCGCAGTATAACTTTAACTGACACAAGATCAGCAGTTAAAGTCGGAAAGGACCTCCCGGAGCCCTTTAATACCGAACGAGGATTCAGAAAAGATGATAGTTTGTCGTGTGACCTTTTTAACATCCTGCTGGTCATATGAGAGGCAAAAGTGAACTGAAGTGGTATTCTGTACACCAAACAACACATGTTACTTGCCTACGCCGATGACATCGACATAATGGGTCGAATATTGAGAGCGGTAACAGCCACCTTTGAACAAATTGAGAAGGAGTCTGCCAAAGAGGATTTGGCAGTAAACAGCGAGAAGGCCAAGCTGATGGTATCAACGCGCAAGACGTCCAGTAGACTCGGACCAACTGTGGAAATTGAAAACTGCAGCTTCGAGGTAGTGAAAGATTTTATATACCTTGGTACCGCCATAAACAAAACGAATGACATCAGTTTTGAAATTCGGAGAAGGATAGTGATGGCCAACCAATGCTACTATGGTCTGAGCAAACAACTCAAAAGCAAGGCCAACTCCCGGCAGACTAAACTCACACTCCCCAAGACGCTGATACTACTAGTGCTGTTATATGGATCTGAATCTGAATACTTACACAAGCAGATGAGGCAGCTCTTGGAGTGTTTGAGAGAAAAATTCTCCGAAAGATCTATGGACCGATCTGCGTTAACGGTGAATACCGCCGTCGAATGAACCATGAGTTGTACCAGATATTCTCGGACATCGACATTGTTAGACGTATTAAGCTACAACGACTACGTTGGCTAGGTCATGTTGTAAGAATGGATGAAGATGCCTCAGCCCGAAAGGCATATAGAAGCGAACCGGCCTTCCCCTTCACGCAGAAGGGGAAGGCCACGAATACGATGGAAAGATCAAGTCGAAGACAACATTGCCGAAAATGGTCTTTCAAATTGGAAAAACTGCGCAAAAGACCGACGCGCCTGGAAATCTTTTCTAAGCTCGGCTTATGGAACGAAAGTTCTGTCACAAGCCAGCTAAGTAAGTAAGTGTATATAGTTACTACTGAAGGAAATAGACCGGATAAGTTG